GGGGGGGGGGGGGGGAGCTGATTCGGTAAGCACTTTTGCCGCATCGAGTCGCCATCAGCCGATAAAAAAAACGTATCTTCACCTTATGCGTGTACGGAGAGCTCACTCTCGGTGTCATGTCCACCCCTGGGGTCGACCCCTGGTTCCTCTTCGATAGGTTCCACCGCTGGTTCCTCTTGGAGAGGTTCTGCCGCTTCGGTCCCGGGAGCTGCCGTTTCGTCCCGAGCTCTTGTCTCGGCTACGATCGCGAAGCACTCCGGGCTTGGTTGGACGGCACGTGCTCCCTGTCATCCACACAACACCAAAAAACCAAAAAAACAAAAAAACAAAAAACACCACTCAGACCGACAAGGACAAAGACAAATTGCATCATTCTTGAAGCACCTTACCAGCACACGAATCGACACAGCATTACGATTGTGTCACGGGTGAACGCGACACTGTTGTTCTCTATTTTTCAACCGCCCAATGGAGGAGGCACAAACGATTGTATCTATAAACTAGATGTCGTTCTGCCTTGAGGCACATAACCTTCATAGTCTAGCGGAACCCTGACCCCCACCGCACTCACGCCCCTCCTGTGTCGCGCAGAACTTTGTATGAACTCGAAAAGGACATGAAGTAAGAGCACAAGCGTGGTACACCGCCCTACGAAACGTGCGTGAGACAAAAACGACACTTGTCGAAGCCAAAACTAAGGGTGGCGCGTGTGCGGAGGAGGGGGTGGGGGGGTGTACTCATAGTCGTGCATGCCGTAGTCATTAGACCATTGACCTCGCATCCCTACAAAGCCTGTACGGAGCACGGCGGGTTCTCACCGGACCAGGCTCTCACATCACCAAGCGCGAAGCGCCGTGAGGTGCGGAGGAGGGGGCATGGGAAAACCCTGAACTATTAGTCACGCGGAGCAATCGTCACATCGTCGCAGAAGGGCACACCTTAACACCACCTCTCGAGAAAAAACTCAAAAAAGCACACGCCAAAGCGCAAGAAGATGCAAAAACTCAACAAGTTGATGTCAACCAAACCGCACGCGAAGATGAGAGTAGGAAGCACGTACGCCTATCGGTGCCACTCCAAAGGAAAAGGGGTGTGCGTGTGGACAGACAAATTAGTGCACTGGCCGACCCATGTACTCACCAATGACGCGAGAAATTCGTCGAAAAACGACACCATCTCCTCGGCACGGCCGGCGTCTTTGAGAGCTTTCAGGATGAAGGCGACGCTTGGGCATGACGAGCGCAACCGGTAGGGGGGGCTCGCTGACCGCATTCCCTGAGGAGATGGTAGGAGGGGGGGGGGGGTCAAGTGGTGGAAACAACGCGTGCCGTGTACAGTTGAAAGAGGATGTCGACAACAGTTGTTTCGTCGACATGGTGGTCAACTAAATCTAACAAGCACAGAGAAGCGGAAAACTTCATTGACCATCGATTGCGAACAAGATGGCGAAGGGGCAACGCGTGCTGTTCATGCCACGTTTGTTGACCCGTCCATCCATCACATGGAAGAGACTGTAGCACCAATCGACGTTGTTTCTTGGAATGATATTCAGAACGGTTCATAAACACCTAATCGCCCGCCCGTGCAAACGCTAATGGCCTGAAAACATGAGCAAACAAATGTATAACTATACATCATTTGTGCTTTCGTTTTTCCGTTCCAATGATGTGTCGGGGAACACATGACTCGCCCTCCTTACATCAAAGAACTCGAGCCCCAGCTCAACGTCTCCGCTCTTCTCACAGCTCTCCAAAGCCAGCTCGTACACCCCCTGAAACACTCGCGCCGACGATGCTCGTAACGCTAACGCCTCCCACTCCTGCGGGACGACACAGCACGACGGCCATTGTTGTTGGTATTTTACAGGAAAAAACGTCAGCCGAATCCTTGAGCTTTTCCTAACTGTTCATGATCGTACATCGAACTGCCGAGTCAACCCATTGTTACCCCATGATCATACCCCTAGTAAACGCACTACCATAAGGCTCGCGTCCACATTCACTCTACCACGGGCATGCCAAGACTGCCTGCCTTGAGTATAAAACACTTCACCTGCCTCTACATCCCACGGGCACTTGACGACGCTGTCTACACAAGAACCAACCGTTCTCACCCACGCCCACCTTGAGAACATCCCGCGCCTCCTGCGGGCGCCCCGCCTCAAGCAGGATCTCTACCCACACCCGGTCGAGGTGCACCGATCTCTTTCCCGCCTCGCTCGCAGCGTCGCGCACCTCCAGGGCCCAGTCGACGTCCCCCAGAGCCTTGGCGGCCTTGAGCGAGTACTCCAGCTTACGGTGCGAGTGGCCTGCCTTGTTCACCTGCGGCACTCAAGCACGGTCGGGGTAAGAGGGGTAAGGCTAGGCGGGGGGTTTTAAGTGCCTCTCCGAAGGAGGCGAGTGTGTGGCGGTTGTTGCAGTTGATGTGGTTGTCCTAGTGTCGAAAACCGATCCGATATTTTGTGCGTACCCACTTTGTAAAACCCAGTATTATCACCGGTCTAACTTACGCGAACGTTCTTTGCGGCGGTATGGTGTCCCGAAAAAACAAAAAACAGACGAGAAGGAGGAGAAGGAGGATACGCTTAAACCTCTTTCGAACAGTAGTTTACATCAGGTTTTTCTGAGTAAGCATCGATAGTGGATAGACTTAGAATCGGCGAGGTTGGGGGTTAGGGTTGGTTAGGGTTAGGGTGTGCGTGCCCCCTGCCCAGTGTTTTTCCGTAGTGACATAGTGACCGTACTTTCATTGCGTAGGCAGTCCCAAAAAAAATACAAACAAGAAAGCGGGAGACCCGGAGCGGAGATCTCTATACAACTGTAGTCGAGCAACCTACCACTCCGTATATGGCTTTCTTGACGTTACCACCTCCCTCTCTCGCCGCACCAGTACCAAGTAGTTTGAAAACCATCTTGATCCCGTTGTCACTAACATTGCCCCGAAACTGAGAGAAAGGGAATCGATCGATGGCACTACCACACCAAACAAAGCCTGGCTTGCGGGAAGTTACACGTTGGGCATGCACTCGAGCCTACTCGACCGAAGCCTGAAACACAAGAATAGCGGTGAGGGGCACGAGGCCAAGAGGCCAGCGGAACATAGCGGCATACGGACGCACCTCCAACCCCTTCACGCTGCGAGACCACGACTTCTTGACCTCGCCGAATCTTTCAAGATAGAACTGCGACATCATGAGGCACTTCCAGTCGCTATTGCTCAGCTTTCCGTTCTCGGCAAGCTGCGCAAAACGGGAGCAGGCATCGGAGGAGGAGATACAGCAAAAAAAGAGCGCCAGGAGGGAGAGCGAGAGCGAGAGCGAGAGAGATAGAGATAGAGAGAGGGAAAGAGGGAGGGAGGGAGGGAGGGAGGGAGGGAGGGAGGGAAAGAAAAGGACGAGAGACGAACAATATGGAGACAGAACACCAAAAATGCGGACACCAAGAAATTAGTCAAAAGAAGCGCTGCATCATGAGCCGGCCTCCAGGCAAAAACACCCGGTATGTACCAACACAAGCAACACAATGTATGTACCAACATGCACACCGGGCGCCAAACGATCGAGCGCCTCACGTGCCATGCCCCACACGACCCAATTACTGCTGTACGCTGCAGACACAACGAAACAAAAGGAGTGTTGTACGCATAACTAACTCGCCACAGTAAGAAGAGGAGAAGCGGGTACAACAAGAAAAAAGGGGTGCGCGGAGAGGATAAAACAAAATAGAAGGGGTAAAGGAGTACGCACAACACACCACAGAAGAGGACATGAGGAAATAAAGAAATACAAGGGGTATGCGAAAGAGGTTTAAGCGAAATAGAAGGGGTATGCGAAGAGGGTACGACGAATTACAAGGGAAATGCGAAGGATGAAGCAAAATCAAGCAGGAATTCATACGATGCATCACCAGCAGGCAGAAGACACAACAACAAAACAAAACAAAAATGGCACCAATGGATCACCACCCGAATTAAAGGGCTATGCACAGCTCACCTCCACCGAAGTGACACAACAAGTCTAAGAAGCATTCATAACTCCCCCAACCACCCAAAAGACAACACGAAAAAAAGGACATGCAACATAGCCCACCGCCAGCGAGAAGAGTCACGACGAAATAAAAGGTGGGGAATACACAGCTCACCAACAGCAAACAGGCACAAAGACGCGAAAGGGCTATTGCATAGATAACCACAAAAAAAAAACGGGTTTGCACATGCATATCATCGCTCGCCACAAAAAAAAAAAGGTACAACAGGACGCGTACAACAGCTTACCACGAGCGAGAAGAGTTCCTCCGCCTCCTGCCACAGGCCGGCGTGGGCGCACCCCTTGGCCTTCCTCTGCAGCACCCTCGTTGACGGCGGGGGGCCCGACCTAGCGATGGCCTCAAACGCTCTTTGAGCACCCCGCGCCCGGTGCGGGGTAAACCACTTCTCTAGACCGCCGAGGGCCGCCGAGTACGTGTCGTCCGTGGGCACTACCCTTTGCGCCTGTGAAGGCGTTCGGTTGGGGGGTCACATGTTATTCATGTCGTAGCGGGTAGACCACGAGCCCTCGAGAGGACGGAGGGGGGGGCGGGAGTGTACGCATGTCGTAGTCGTTAAGACCGTTGCATCACTGCAATGCCGGGGCGAAGCGATACGCCGGGTTTTCGCCGGCCCAGGCCACGTCTCGGGGATGCCTGATCATCTCCCTTGTGTGTGCTATGCCAAATCAGATATGCTATGGGTTGACTGGGCATGCCGGGAGGCGTTAGGGGGTCGACCGGAGCTACGGCGAACACGAAAACAACCATTTTTGTTACCACAGCAATCATCATGACGCGAGAGCAAGCTTCGATGTTTCGGGCGCCTTTTCCAAGGTGAAATGAACGACGGGAGAATATTTTCAAGACACTGGCGCCTGCAAGTATCGCCACAAGGCTGAGGTACACTATTTCTGGACCTTCAATGTCATCTACACGCCGAAACCAGAGTTTTCCCGAAAACAGGCAGCGAGGAATATAATCGAGTGCTGCGTTCTTACCCGGGAATAGAGGGAGAGGGATGAGCAATGATCAATTTCTTCAGCCCGCTGAGGACGTATCCGGTGCAATGCAAACCACCGGTAACATGAACATGTACGTGATCGGCCGGTAGCACCTTGAGCAATTCGACATTAGAAAGCCAGCCCAAGGGCACTTCAGCCAGGCGGGGAGCATCCTCCTCATGGTGACATATGTCCCTCCCGCCAAACACAACAAATACAAAAATCTGTGGACACCAAGACAACGAGACGCGCATGTTCACGATATAGACAACGTCAGCGTGTCCGAAACGTGCGCATACGCATACGCACCTCCATCATCGCCAACACCGCCTCCATTTCGTCTTGGTTGCCGACCACCATGGTGCACTTGATAGCCAGGTTGTACGTTTCCGGGTGAATGACGACGCCGTTGAAACCGTGAACGCACACCAGCTGCCTCCAGTACTCTAGGCATTCCTCGGCCTTGCCGGCCTTCATCAGTATCGACATCATCTGCGACCAGCAGCGGCAGCAGCAGCAGCAGCAGAAGTAGCAACAGCAACACCAGCAGTGTCACGAACGTGTGTAGAGAGGAGCAGACGATCAGATATGTTGAAAAAAATGGGCCCCGGGCCGGCGGGGAGATGCCAAGGGAACGGACACCACAATTGGAAACCCGACTCGCGAGGATCGTGCTATTTCTTCCGGAAAACAGCAGTGACTACATGAGGATGATTTTTTGGGGGGGAGGGGGGGGGTCGGGCGGTGCGATTTTTTGAGAAAACCGAGCGTCAAGTTGTGAAACTAGCGTCCAGCTTCCCCCGAGATTCCATGTACTCGCGAACTCCATGGGCGTCAAAATCCGGCTGTCGGTGCTCTCAAGTCCCAGTAGCGACACACATATCCGGACTCTAGAATCGTGGTGTTTGTCACCCCGGTGGCAAAGAGCTCGTCGGCGTCCCCGCAGGATTGCAACACATGCACGCGGGACACCAAGCATCGATGGCTGACTGACCTTGACGTACACGTACTCCGCAGGAGGCAAGCCTGCTTCCGCGCGGTGTTGGAAGAGCTGCTTGGCCGTCTCCACCTGTCCCAAGTTTTCCGCCGCCCTATACGCCCAGACGAAGGCTGCCTCCGTGGGAAGTTTGGACTCTTCCCGCATGCGGCGTATTGTCTACCGGTTGGGGGGCACAGAAGAAGCAGGTTGTGGGAGAGCGAATGCGCTGGTATTAAAAGGTACCACGCTTGATCGGCGTGAGAAGTTTCTAGGAAGCAAGAGGATGCCTCGGGAAGAATGGCCATTTCGGCACAAATATGACCAGCCTCCAGTGAGTCTTCCTGATTCGCTGGACACGCGGATGTGATACATTTGTGACGATGGACAAACACGAGATACATTTCTACAATTCTTTCTCGACAAGACAAGGCCTTTCTGACCCATCGTCGTGCTCGACGGATGACAATACGGCCAACCTTTTCGGCGAGACATCGAACTCGAAAACAGGCGTAGCGGTTGAGGTACCTAGACAACCTAGACTATGCCATGCAACGCCTCACTTGATGACGTACACAAACGCTGAAATACCTCTATCACTACCATTGCGCGGTCAAATAAGCACTTGTGCGTTGTCTGCTCCGTTACTTCCAGCTATGCGTCTCGGGCGCAAAACCACGCGCCGTAGGAAGGAATGCATGCGTGGTCAACAACCGCCCCTTGGCGACTACGACAAGAAACGTTCGAACAAAAACAACAAGAAACGTTCGCCACGTTTCCTTTGTGCGCCGCCCCGTTCATGTGCAAAAACGCCATACTGCCGCGGTGGATATCCAACGAGCTGTGCTGCGCGGATACCATCAACTTCACTTTATCCATGCTCCCAGGTTGCAGCAATTCGGGCTAACATAGCTGTGTTGCGAAACGTGTTTGCCGAACTTCAACGACCCATCAAGCAGTCACGACGCTCACGTCGTGCTATTTTTTTTTTAGCCCTCACGACGCACACCAACACTGCGGGATCAAGTTTTGGGTCAGGGTCAGGGCTACTACTCACGTATAGGACCCCATCGTAGTCTCGGCGAATGCCCATCACCGCGATCATGCCCAGGCATGCCACTCGTGAACCCTGCCACCCTTTCGCGTACATCTCTTCCACGGCCCTGTCAACAGATGGATGGCGTGGCCAAAAACTCAAAAAGATCTTCACAAGAACAATCGTAGCGGAAAAAGCCCCAGAAATAATCGTAGTGGTGGCAAGGCCGACGGAGCAAGGATAAGCCGGACAGACAGTAGCCAAGTGACGATGCTGCAAACAGCACGGGAGAGGCGGACAATGCAGCAGCAATACTATTTGGTGGTGTTTGAGAGTCTTCTCCCTGTGCGTCGAATCTGCAAGGGGGCATCGTCGTCCCCCATCCCCCCCCCCCCCCCCCCCCCCTG